GCTGAGCGGGAACTGTGCTTCCGTAGAGGTAGGGGGGCTAGCAGGCCAGAGGTGGATGAACGTAGTGCCCTCGTTTGGGTGTAGGGTCTGATCAGAGCCTGAAGGTAAGGAGGTGCCGTTCCCTTCACAGCTCCGTAGGCAAGCACCATGGTCTTGTAGTAGATGCGAGCCTCAACTGGAAGCCAGTGGAGTGTGCGGTGGAGCGGGGTGACATGAGAGAACTTGGGAAGGTCGAACACCAGATGGGCTGCAGCGTTCTGGATAAGTTGTAGGGGTTTAATGACACAGGCAGGGAGCCCAGCCAACAGCGAGTTGCATTAATCCAGACGGGAGATGACAAGTGCCTGGATTAGGACCTGTGCCGCTTTCTGTGTAAGGTAGGGTCGTACTCTGCGAATGTTGTAGAGCATGAACCTGCAGGATCGGGTCACCGCTTTGATGTTAGCGGAGAACGACAGGGTGTTGTCCAGGGTCACGCCAAGGTTCTTTGCACTCTGGGAGGAGGACACAATGGAGTTGTCAACCGTGATGGCGAGATCATGGAGCGGGCAGTCCTTCCCCGGGAGGAAGAGCAGCTCCGTCTTGCCGAGGTTCAGCTTGAGGTGGTGATCCGACATCCACACTGATATGTCTGCCAGACATGCAGAGATGCGATTCGCCACCTGGTTATCAGAAGGGGGAAAGGAGAAAATTAATTGTGTGTCGTCTGCGTAGCAATGATAGGAGAGACCATGTGAGGATATGACAGAGCCAAGTGACTTGGTGTATAGAGAGAATAGGAGAGGGCCTAGAACTGAGCCCTGGGGGACACCAGTGGTGAGAGCACGTGGTGCGGAGACAGAAAGGTGCAGAAAGGGAGGAGAGGAGGGTTGAGGAGGCAGAATCAGGAGATCAGAGGGAGAAGGATTTAGCAGAGGGAAGAGATGATAGGATGGAAGAGGAGAGAGTAGCGGGAGAGAGAGAGCGAAGGTTGCGACAGCACATTACCATCTGAGTAGGGGCAGAGTGAGTAGTGTTGGAGGAGAGCGAGAGAGAAAAGGATACAAAGTAGTGGTCGGAGACTTGGAGGGGAGTTGCAGTGAGATTAGTAGAAGAACAGCATCTAGTAAAGATGAGGTCAAGCGTATTGCCTACCTTGTGAGTAGGGGGGGACGGTGAGAGGGTGAGGTCAAAAGAGGAAAGGAGTGGAAAGAAGGAGGCAGAGAGGAATGAGTCAAAGGCAGACGTAGGGAGGTTAAAGTCACCTAGAACTGTGAGGGGTGAGCCATCCTCAGGAAAGGAACTTATCAAGGCATCAAGCTCATTGATGAACTCTCCAAGGAAACCTGGAGGGTGATAAATGATAAGGATGTTAAGCTTGAATGGGCTAGTGACTGTGACAGCATGGAATTCCAATTAGGAGATAGACAGGTGGGTCAGGGGGGAAAGAGAGAATGTCCACTTGGGAGAGATGAGGATTCCTGTGCCACCGCCGCGCTGACCAGATGCTCTCAGGGTATGCGAGAACACATGATCAGACGAGGAAAGAGCAGTAGGAGTAGCAGTGTTTTCTGTGGTAATCCATGTTTCCGTCAGCACCAAGAAGTTGAGGGACTGGAGGGTAGCATAAGCTGAGATTTACTCTGCCTTGTTGGCCGCAGAACGGCAGTTCTAGAGGCTGCCGGCGACCTGGAACTCCACGTGGATCGTGCGCGCAGGGACCACCAGATTAGAGTGGCAGCAGCCACGTGGTATGAAGCGTTTGTATGGCCTGTGCAGAGAGGAGAGAACAGGGATATACAGATACATAGTTGACAGGCTACAGAAAAGGCTACAATAATGCAAAGGAGATCGGAATGAAATTAACTAAACATCTGGGAAAGCGAGAGAGCGGGGCCTCCCTCACTTACGTTTCACTGAAACACTCAAATATAACTCCCAACTTCCACTTTAGAAATTATAATTCTTGTAAACTACAGCGGTTCAATGTTTTCTAGGAATAGACTCTAACTTAGTTTATTCAGCTAGCTAACTTGGTACAGTATTCTTCCGTGAAAACCGCCCAGGGCACCGTATCCTATGACGCCATAGCTATCTAGCATGCTAGCTTCGGTTTAGCACCAATACTTGGTTACAACAAACTATCAATAGTGTGTTAACACTACTGTGTCAAGGCACAGATCTGGGGAAGGGTACCAAAAAATGTCTGCAGCATTAAAGGTCCCCAAGAACACAGTGGCCTCCATCATTCTTAAATTGAAGAAGTTTGGAACCACCAAGACTCTTCCTAGAGCTGGCCGCCCGGCCAAACTGGGGAGACGGGCCTTGGTCAGGGAGGTGACCAAGAACCCGATGGTCACTCTGACAGAGCTTTATAGTTCCTCTGTGGAGATGGGAGAAACCTTCCAGAAGGACAACCATCTCAGCAGCACTCCACCAAACAGGCCTTTATGATAGAGTGGCCAGACGGAAGCCACTCCTCAGTAAAAGGCACATGACAGCCCGTTTGGAGTTTACCAAAACGCACCTAAAGACTCTCAGACCATGAGAAACAAGATTCTCTGGTCTGATGAAACAAAGATTGAACTCTTTGGCCTGAATGCAAAGCGTCATGTCTGGAGGAAACCTGGCACCATCTCTACGGTAAAGCATGGTGGTGGCAGCATCATGCTGTGGGGATGTTTTTTCAGCGGCAGGGACTGGGAGACTAGTCAGGATTGAGAGAAAGATGAACGGAGCAAAGTACAGAGAGATCCTTGATGAAAACCTGCTCCAGAGCGCTCAGGACCTCAGACTGGGGTGAAGGTTTACCTTCCAACAGGACAACGACCCTAAGCACACAGCTAAGACAACGCAGGAGTGGCTTCGGGACAAGTCTCTGAATGTCCTTGAGTGGCCCAGCCAGAGCCCGGACTTGAACCCGATCGAACATCTCTGGAGAGACCTGAAAATAGCTGTGCATCAACGCTCCCCATCCAACCTGACAGAGCTTGAGAGGATCTGCAGAGAAGAATGTGAGGAACTCCCCAAATACAGGTGTGCCAAGCTTGTAGCGTCATACCCAAGAAGACTCAAGGCTGTAATCGCTGCCAAAGGTGCTTCAACAAAGTACTGAGTAAAGGGTCTGGATACTTATGTAAATGTGACATTTCAGATTTTTTTATTTTGATAAATTAACAAAAATGTCAAAAAACCTGTTTTTGCTTTGTCATTATGGGGTATTGTGTGTAGATTGATGAGGAAAAATAACTATTTAATCAATTTTAGAATAAGGCTGTAACCTAACAAAATGTGGAAAAAGTCAAGGGGTCTGAATACTTTCCAAAGTATGTATGAGATTATATTAATAGATATTGTACTCATATTATATTTATATAATTATTATTCTCAGTGTTGTGGAGTAGTGAACTACAATTTGTCCAACTAGTAATTTAATTACATTTTGCAGTAGCTTGGTTGTAGTTGAACTAAATTCAAATCTTGGTGGTGTTTTCAGTAGTTAAAGTGCCTTCAGAAAGTTTTCACACCCTTGACATTTTCCACATTTTGTTGTGTTACAGCTGGAATTTAAAATGGATTAAATAGCGATTTTATTTGTCACTGGCCTACACACAATACCCCATAATGTGAAAGTGGAATTATGTTTTTAGAAATTTGTACAAATTAATACAAAATGAAAAGCTGAAATGTCTTGAGTCAATTAGTATTCAACCCCTTTGTTATGGCAAGCCTAAATAAGTTAAGGAGTAAAAATGTGCTTAACAAGTCACATAATAAGTTGTGCAATATTAGTGGTTAACATGATTTTTCAATGACTACCTCATCTCTGTACCCCACACATACAATTATCTGTAAGGTCCCTCAGTCGAGCAGTACATTTCAAACACAGATTTAACCACTAAGACCAGGGAGGTTTTCCAATGCCTCGCACGAAGGGCACCTATTGGAAGATGGGTAAGAAAATACAAATAAAGCAGATATTGAATATCCCTTTGAGCATGGTGAAGTTATTAATTGGATGGTGTATCAATACACCCAGTCACTACAGGAGGCCAATGGTGACTTTAAAACAGTTGCAGAGTTTAATGGCTGTGACAGGAGAAAACAGGATAGATCAACAACATTGTAGTTATTCCACAATACTGACCTAGTAGACAGAGTGAAAAGAAGGAAGCCTGTACAGAATAAAAATATTCAAAAATATGCATCCTGTTTGCGACAAGGCACTAAAGTAATACTGCAACAAATGTGGCAAAGCAATTCACTTTTTGTCCCGAATACAAAGTGTTATGTTGGGGGCAAATCCAATACAACACTATACTGAGTACCACTCAATATTTTCAAGCATAGTGGTGGCTGCATCATGTTATGGGTATGCCTGTAATCGTTAAGGACTGGGGAGTGTTTTAGGATAAAAAAGAAACGGAATGGAGCTAAGCACAGGCAAACTCCTAGGGGAAAACCTGGTTCAGTCTGCTTTCCACCAGACACTGGGAGATAAATTCACCTTTCAGTAAGAGTGGCTGAGTTACAGTTTTGACTTAAATCTACTTGAAAATCTATGGCAAGACCTTCAAATCATTGTCTAGCAATGATCAACAACCAATTTGACAGAGCTTGAAGAATTTTGAAAATAATAATGGGTAAATGTTGCACAATCCAGTTGTGGAAAGTTTTAGAGACTTACCCAGAAAGGCTCACAGCTGTTATCACTGCCAAAGGTGCTTCTTCAAAGTATTGAATCAGGGGTGTGAAAACGTATGTAAATTTGATATTTCTGTATTTCATTGCCAATACATTTGCAAAAATGTCTAATAACATGTTTTCACTTTGTAATTATGGGGTATTGTGTGGAGATGGGTGAGAAGAAAATCAATTTAATCAATTTAAAATCCAGGCTGTAACACAACAAAATGTGGAATAAATCAAGGGATATGAATACTTTCTGAAGGCTCTGACTGCAGTGGAAACCCACCAGAACACCCAGGACCTGCTGAGGGGCCCGGGTGGAGAGAGCAGACATGGAGAGTAGGAAGAAAAGCACAGAGATGGACGGAACCAACCGAGGTCGTGAAGTGGGAGGACTACCCGAACCGACAACGAAGTCCACTGCTAGATCAGAGGCGCTGCCATGAGTGCGGCGAGCTGGGACACCTCACGTGGAGCTGCCCCGGCCGGGAGGAATCCATGCCCTCCGCATACCACAGCTCCGGGGTAACCCGGATGGCGAGTTATGTCACCTCCTGTTGGGCACACACCGAGACGGCCCCTCCGATGGTTCCAGTACGAATCAATGACGTCGACACCAGCGCTCTGCTGAACTCCGGCATCATGGTGACCCTGGCCCAACCGCAGTGGCTCACACGTGAGGGGAAAGACGCCTACCCCAGATGGTGCGATGGACGGAGGACACAGAGGCACCCGGACCGGGATGTGTTTTTTCCGTTGATCGTAACTTTTCTATTATTTCTCTATTTTCTTTCTCGCTGCATTGTTGGCAAGGGCCCGTAAGTAAGCATTTCACTGTTAGTCTATATCTGTTGTTTACGAAGCATGTGACAAATAACATTGAATTTGATTTGAAAAGGTTCTATGTTGAATAATGACAATAATATAATACAATTTGATTGTCCATTAGTTACAGCGAACAACAGAAAGTTGTCTTCTGCTCTGTTCTCAACTCCCCCAGACAGCACACATCCAGTTGAGACGAGCACAGGGTAAAGCTGCAGCGCTCCTGGACGGAGAGCATGTTGTGGGGTTAAGGGCCTTGCTCAAGGGACCAACGGTAGGGGACTGTCTTGAGAATGTGAACCCAGCAGTGCTCCAGCTGCCAGATCAATTCCGCCTACCTGGGATTGGAACCTGCCATCTTTTGGCCACAGGTCCAAGTCCTTAGCCTTTGGGCTACCTATCACCCCAAAAATCATACTCATGTTATTTTAGATCATACTAATAGTGATGGGCTTCAAGCTAAGAATTATCATTATGTGTACACCAACCCCCCTATTCTTCTATGATTCTATTGACTCAAGTGATTCAAGAGAGTCAATATAAAAGGTTCCATGTTGAATATTGTAGCAACCTTAAGCCAACACCTAACGACCTCGTCAAGAGGTTCAGACCTCTTGGCGTAACGGTTAAGGTGTTGGTTTGACAGTCACTGGACCCGGATTTGAGTCCTGGTCGGGGCTACACCTCGAATTCGCTACATCGATGTCAGAAGTTGGATGGTGGCCTTGTGGCCAGCGGAGAGGCGTGTACACATGAGGGACTTGGTATAGAGAAGTGTGGGGACACGCTTTCCCGAAAGAAGGGGGTAACACATAGCGACTTTGTCAAGAGGTTTGGACCTCTTGGTGTAATGGTTAAGGTGTTGGCTTGACAGTCAGGCTACCTCCCGAATCCGCTACAATATGTATGAAATAATATATTCGTAGTTATTATACTCATATCATATGCTATATTATATTTTAGTCATTTAGCAGACACTCTTATCCAGAGCGACCTACAGTTAGTGAGTGCATACATTTTCATACTGGCCCCCCGTGGGAAACAAACCCACAACCCTGGCGTTGCAAGCGCCATGCTCTACCAACTGAGCTAAAGGGTCTATGCTCATTATTGACTAATGTCAAACCTGATGGCTTGTCATGTTCTAACAGGTACAATATAGTGTGTTTTTACGATGTGTTTGCCTAACAGCTGAGTCTTGCTGTCTGACCGTGTGGTGATACATGAGTCCTCACATTCATAATGCCCTTATTATGTAAATATGAGTCTGATTATATAAACATGAGTCTCTGGGCTACAGGATGAGTCATATTATCACAGCAATAGCATACCTTTATGTATTCAACTGATTCAGGACAGTCAAATGAAAGGGTTCCATGTTGAATAATTAGTATGTTGAATAGATCATATTCATCGTTTAATAGTCATATCATATTATAGAATGAGTAACATTATTTAAGCAAATACCCATTACCCTTTGGCCTCAATCTTTTGATTCAAGTGATTCAGAAGTGTCAAAAGTACAAGTTCCAAGTTTAATAATGAACATTTGGAATATGTATATGAGATTATATTCATAGTTATTATATTCATATCATAGCCTATTACTTGCTGCAATATTCTATTAGTAGGCCTAGCCTATACTCATATGTCCAAGTAATGTGTTGGAAGCAAACAGGATAAATCATAATGTTGGATTGTATCAGTCAACTCCCATCACCCCACATCCTCTCCATGAGCAACATAATGCAATGTCCCTTAATGTAATGAGTATGACCCAATTATGGTCCTAAAGGTTACTGCTGGTCACTGACTCTGGAAAGATGTCTACGCCTATCAAACAACAGCTATCCAACCATGTTGACACAAGTTGCGTAATTTTATACATAATGAGTGTGAAATAATGAGTGTGACTGTAAAAAAATGTGGGGACTTTTTCTGGATGACTTTCAGCATTTCAGCCAGGGGTTGTAAAACGTTAAACATCAGATAATCAGGCAACCAATGAAACTCTTAGGGTAGATGTGGCATCAAATGCTCCTCGACCAATTGGAGTCTTTAAAACGACGTCTGAACAAGAAACTTAGTAGCAGGTTTAGCTAGGTAAGCGGAACCATCACCACGAGTAGAGCTGCACAACGCGCTCTATTGTCAACGTTCGCCCGAAGAAGCTATCTCATCGTTGTGCACCTTTTGATACATTATAACTATTATCTTCATTCTACGCGGTAAGTTATGTATTCGATGCCAGTTGATAGCAAATTGTGTGCGTCTTTGACAGTAGCCTATGCTATCCTAGCATTGCACCAGGAAATCGAGTGCGCACTTTCACAAAGTTGCTCGATTTCCTGGTGGGATGAACGATGATGCCTGTGTTTGTCATGTAAATTGAATAGCTATCTGTCCTCTTTCCAGCATAGATCTAATCTCCTCAACACTGGGCATATTAACTACAGAATCCTACGGCAAAAATGACAGCGACGGAGACGAGAAACCCCAACAAGCAGCAAAACAGATTGCTGTGGTGGCGGAAACGTCTACGAGAGATGATGTTTTTGATGATAGTTATAAAGCAAAAGAGGGCCCTAAACCGCCGATGAGACTGGTGTGGAGAAACATCATATTAATGATTTTATTACATACTGGAGCGTTTTATGGACTGATGCTCGTGCCCTCCGCTTCGACCCTAACTCTGGCTTGGAGTAAGTATCACCATTTACATCGTGCCATTTTATTCGCCTTTTCTTTATGCGTTGATCAGTTTTTACGCCCTTGTTAAAGTTGTTTGTCTACGCAGCATAGTTTCTGGTCGACATTAGAAAACATAATGTGCTGAAGCTGGGTGATGCATTTGTGAAGAAGGCGCTTGTTGTCGACATGATGCTTGCCCCCTCTAAGAATAGTGTTGAATGTTCAATCTATTTCGGGGCACACCCCCACTCAATATTTTTTCCATGGAAATAACAAACAATATAACGGAATATGTTGCCTAACAGTTAACTACACCACGGTTTCCCAACATCTGTACACGTTTTTGCTCTAGCATTACACAGCTGATTCAAATAATCAAAGCTTGATGAGTTGGTTATTTGAATAAGCTGTGTAGCGCTAGGGCAAAAACTAAAACGTGCACCCGAGGGGGGGCCTAGGACCGAGTTTGGGAAACCCTGAGCTACACCATTATCACCTGATCATCACACCATATATGCACCTATCAAATGAAGCGCTCATAGGCAGGCTACTGTTGTGCAGAGAGAACGAGACGTTTTGGAATGTGTGGCCTGAGGTAGCCCAAAGGCCGGCAGATGGCGATATTGAGTCTTTTTTGTCTTACCGTCCAAGCGCATTGAATGCAGCCGGCAACTGGTGTGCAGCTGCAGCCAACAATTCAGAGCTTTCCTGCACCACATTGGTTCCTGCATGAATTGCTGGCTGCAGATGCACCCTTCTTGCCGGCAATACATCCGTGTCCCTCGTTGACCGGTTCGTACCTAAAACATTGTCCAGTCAGGCTGCATAGGCTTCGATTTCCTTAACTTTATTGATGTTGTGTATTGCATTCAGCCAATCGGGTTTCAGCAGGCTGTTTTTTTCATTCCTAACTGAATGCAGCAGGCGTAAAAGAAACAGAACCCCTTGTCTCAGTTTAAACCTGATTGGCTGAAGGTGATACACAACATCCGGGATGAGCATGTAGCCACTAGCGTGGTTACAAATTGTGTTTCATAAGGAAAGTACACATATTTTCCCACAAATATATTGCCAGGTGCATACAATGCGTTTGGACGGTAAGATGAAAAAGACTCAATATCACCATCTGCTGGCCTTTGGGCTAGACTTGAGGCACCTTTGTTCACAATATGTTTCTTAATCAGAAATAGCTACATCTGTGTTCACTTGTTTAGACATAGACAAAATGTGCAGATTTTAAGAATGTTGTTGTTGTGAGAACAGGTAGTTGGACAGATGAAGCATGACTTGGATTATACCGAACGACCCAAACTTTGTCCCCCCCTCCTGTCTGTGTGTGCAATGCTGAACTGCATGTTATTCCACTGGGCGAGACGACAAAGAACAATTGCCATTCCAATAGACATTCCATTGTGAGAGGCTGCATGGCACCAAAACAGAATGTCTCTTTGCTGCCTGGGCTGTTTGGAGGCCCCAAGTTCTCACTTCCTAAGCAGCCTTCTCTGGCTGCACATAGAAACACATAAAACAATTTTACAACAACAACCCTGCGAGTAGAGTATATATGCATACCTACTCCCACTGCCAGCTCCCAACAGAAATAACTCATGACAGCAACAAGGCAGGGATGGAGAATGGGCATGGGACATGATGTCCCCTGTATCTACTGGGAGTCAAATCTATGTGAGTGTATGCCATACATGGATGTCTGTTTATCTCTCTTGCTCTCCCTCCCCTAGCTGTTGTGTGCTTCTTGCTCAGTGCCCTGGGTATAACTGCAGGGGCTCACCGCCTCTGGAGTCACAAGTCCTACAAGGCCTCCACCCCTCTCCGAGTCTTCCTGGCCCTTGCCAACTCAATGGCCTTCCAGGTAAACAAACTAAATATCTGAATTTAATAAACTTTATTGAACTCTAGAGAGGAAATTGTATTTGTAACCAGCATAGGATACATAGTGGGTATCACAAGTATTCACCCCTCTTGGATTTTTTTCATTTTTTTTTTTTAAAGTTTATTTTTGTTGTCATTGATCTACACAAAATACTCCATAATGTCAAAGTGAAAAAATTAAATAACATAAAATATGCAGTCGTCCTTCTGAACTGAGCTACAGGACAGGAAGGAAACTGCTCAGGGATATCACCATGAGGCCATTGGTGATTTTTTAAATGACTGTGATGGGAGAACTGAGGATGGATCAACAACATTGTAGTGACTACAATAATGACATAAATGACAGTGAAAAGAATAGATATACAGAATAAAAATATTAAAACGTGCATCCGGTATGCAACAAGGCAATAAAGAAAACAAAAAAAAAACAACAGCAAAGGAATACATTTTTTGGCTTATATGCATAGCCTTATATTTGGGGCCTCATGTTATGGGTATGCTTGACATCAGCAAAGACGGGAGTTATTCAGGATTTAAAAAAAAATACGGGATGGAACTTAGCACAGGCAAAATGCTAGAGGAAAGCCTGCTTTGGTCTACTTTTCACCAGACCCTGGGAGAGGACTTTACCTTTCAGCAGGACAATAACCTACAAAAAAAGGCCAAATCTACAATGCAGTTGCTTACCAAGAAGACGGAATGTTCCTATGTGGCCAAGTTACAGTTTTGACTCATCTGCTTGAAAATCTATGGCAAGACTTGAAAATTGCTGTCCAGCCATGATACCCAACACCTCGACAGAGCTTGAAGTAATTTGAAAAGATTAATGAACGAATATTGCACAATCCAGGTGTGCAAAACTCTGAGACTTACCTAAGACTCACAGCTGTAATTGCTACCGAAGGTGTTTCTAACATGTATTGACTCAGATGGGTGAATAGCTATCTAATCAAGGTATATTAGTGTTTTCATGAATCATAAAACATTTTTAGAATTTTTCTTCCAGTTTGACAGAGTATTTTGTGTAGAGATTTGACAATGACAATTTAAATCCATTTGAATCCCACTTTCTAACACAATACAATGTGAGGAAATCCAATTGGGTGGATACTTATGATATGCACTGTACAGGGATTAAAACAGACAGAGGAAAACACACAGCATAAACATGGAAGGCTAAATGTATGTGAACACCAACATGGCTCTTCCAAAAGACCAAGGCTCTCTTTCTAGAGTGATTCAGTTTAAAAGGCCTTTATTGTGTTGGCGTGTCCGCGAGGGAAGAGTTAGAAACAGCAAGATCGAGAGCTAGCAGAGACTACCGCCAAGAGCCAACGATTTAGTGGCTTTATAGCCAGCCTTCATCAAAAACATTAACACAAGAATAATTATCCAAATTTGGTAGAAAATGCCCTGCTGAAATAGACCCACTTTTATTTCCTATAAATGCACCCCAAAATAATGTATTAAGTGATTTTTATCATGCGTCTCTATGACCTCCTTTATAAACTGATGACTTGATTAAAGAAGTGGCTGATGCAATCAGGTTAAGGGTTCAGTCATAATACAGGTCTACCCAAGTCCCCACCAGTCACAACAGCATTAATGAGTGACCCAACTGTGTGTGTGTGTACATATGACCAAAAGTCAAAGCTTGTCGACCATCTCATTCCAAAGTCATGGGTATTAATATGGAGTTGGTCCCCCCTTTGCTGCTAGAACAGCCTCCACTCTTCTGGGAAGGCTTTTCACTAGATGTTGGAACATTGCTGCGGGGACTTGCTTCCATTCAGCTTCAAGCATTAGTGCGGTCGGGCACTGGTGTTGGGCGATTAGGCCTGGCTCACAGTCGGCATTCCAATTCATCCCAAAGGTGTTCGATGGGCTTGAGGTCAGGGCTCTGTGCAGGCCAGTCTAGTTCTTCCACACCGATCTCAACAAACCATTTCTGTATGGACCTCACTTTTGTGCACGAGGGCATTGTCATGCTGAAACAGGAAAGGGCCTTCTCCAAACTGTTGCCACAATTGGGCGCACAGAATCGTCTAGAATGTAATTGTATGCTGTAGCGTTGATTTCCCTTCACTGGAACTAAGGGGCCTAGCCCGAACCATGGAAAAACCGCCCCAGACCATTATTCCTCCTCCACCACCAAACTTCACAGTTGGCACTATGCATTCGGCCAGGTAGCGTTCTCCTGGCATCCGCCAAACCCACATTTGTCCGTCGGACTGCCAGATGGTGAAACATAATTCATCACTCCAGAGAATGCGTTTCCAGAGTCTAATGGCAATGAGCTTTACAACCACTCCAGCTGACGCTTGGCATTGCGCATGGTGACCTTAGGCTTGTGTGCAGCTGCTAGACCATGGAAACCCATTTCATGAAGCTCCCGACAAACAGTTATTGTGCTGACGTTGCTTCCACAGGCAGTTTGGAACGCGGTAGTGAATGTTGCAACTGAGGACAGGCCATTTTTATGCGCCACACGCTTCAGCACCCGGTGGTCCCATTCTGTGAGCTTGTGTGGCCTACCAGTTTGTTGCTAGACGTTTCCACTTAAAAATAAAAGCACTTAGACTTGACCGGGGCAGCTCTAGCAGGACAGGAATTTGACGAACTGACTTGTTGGAAAGGTGGTATCCTATGACGGTGCCACGTTGAAAGTCACTGAGCTCTTCAGTACGGGCCATTATACTGCCAATGTTTGTCTATGGAGATTGCAAGGCTGTGTGCTCAATTTTATACACCTGTCAGCAACGGCTGTCTGAAAAAGCCGAAACCCACTAATTTTGAAGGGGTGTCCACATATTATTTAGACAGTGAAGCGAAAATGTTTACATTTGGCTCTATACTCCAGTATTTTGGATTTGCGCTAAACATTTTCATATTGGGACAAATGTAATTAGTGTATTAAAGTAGTCAAGTTTAGTATTTGGTCCCTTATTCCTATGACTCAGTAACTACATAGAGCTTGTGATTTGAAATCTGTTGGCTGCATTTTGACTTTGGTTTGTGTTTCGGGTGATGTTTTCCCCAATAGGAACTGAATGGTAAATAATGTATTGTAATTTGAGTAACTTTTTATTGTTAATAAGAATATATGTTTTGGAACACTTACATTAATGTGGATGCTACCATGATTCGAAATAATCATGTATGAATCGTGAAAAATGATGCGTGAGAAAGTTGGAGGCTCAAAGATCACACCCCCCAAAAAATCTAACCTCCCATGTTATTGGTAATGGTGACAGGGTACAATTTTCATGATTTATTAATGAATGATTATCCGTAATGATGGTAGTATCCACATTAATGTAGAAGTGTTCAGAAACCTCTTCTTAATACGTTATAGGTGAATTTGTCAATACTTATGACTTCTTCAAATGGGGGGAACTAGATGCATGAAGTGCTTTCATTTCTAAACTGTCGCCTCATATGAAACATTTTAATCAAATTCCGGAGTATAGATCCAAATGTAAACATTTTAGCTTCACACTCCCCTCCGTATTTATCTAGACAGTATGATTTTGTTTTGACCAATTATTGATTACACTTAATCTGAGTGCTGTTGCCTGTATAATCTGTGCTGACTGATGCTTCCCTGCTAATCTGATGGTCACCTCTTAATTTAATACGCATTGTAGAGAGGGGGAGAGCTCTCTAGTCTACTGTGTTTAAACCCTCGCTCTAGTGTTGTGCCCATACCTATTCATATTAGTGTGTTCTGAAATCTCAATTGGTTGTACAATTTTAAAGCATAGAGATGGAGGCAAATGCATGGTTTTCCTTTTTAGGGCCATATATCAAGCATCTCTGAGTAAGAATGCCGATACAGGGAGAACCTGATCCTAGAGACTCATTTTATTGTAATCTAAAAGGCAAAACTGATCCTAAATCAGCACGTCTACCCTGAGACACTTGATGCATATTGCCCCAGATTCCCACACTATGGGTCACGTGTACTACTGTATAGAGCTCAGACGATAAACAGAAAATTGTCACCAACCATACCGCTCAGTTATAGCAGGCATTTTTCTGATATCATTCATTAGGATAAGTAGCCTATACTAGAGAAATGAATTAAGTTTGCTAATATGGATGATTTGTGAATGGGACAATTTGATGGCTACAGCCATCAAAGTAGTAGTTTAAAAAAATAAACTGGTGCACATTGTTAAACTTATTGTTATCGCATCAATTCAGGCAATTTATCGCAATATGGATATCACCCAGCTCTACTACTGTACATGTTGCTGTTATCAGTGTTAGATAAAAGTGCCTCCTTAACAACCACATCACTTCTATTATTTCCTCCAGAACGACATTTACGAGTGGGCGAGGGACCACCGGGTTCACCACAAGTACTCCGAGACGGACGCAGACCCCCACAATGCACTGCGGGGCTTCTTCTTCGCTCACATTGGCTGGCTGCTCGTCCGCAAAAACCCTGAAGTGATCGAGAAGGGCAAGAAGCTGGAGCTGACAGACCTGAAGGCAGATAAAGTAGTCATGTTCCAGAGAAAGTAAGTAGAGAACTGTTTTAGTCTATGTCCTGCATAGTCCTTCATATCTAATATCTTCTCCTATATGCCATTTAGCAGACAGTTTTATCTAAAGTGGCTCATAGAGCATGTATACATTTTTGGATGGGTGGCCCCAGCATAAACAGAACCCACGATCTTGGCTTGCAAGCCCCATGCTCTAACAACTGAGCCACACAAGACTGTTTTCGTATGTTGTCTGTTGGTATATGGTAAAGAGTTTCTTACCTACAACAGTAGCAGTCATTAGTGGGGTGACTTGTCTTTCCTTTCCTGGTAGTATTTTTAAAGGTTGGCCCTGACAAGGGCCCTGGCAGTGCCCTCACTCTGAATCATGCAGTGTTGTACAGTTAACTGCCAAAATAAAGGAAACGCCAACGTGAAGTGTCTTAACAGGGCGTTGGGCCACCACAAGGTGCCAGAACAGTTTCAATGCGCCTTGGCATAGATTCTACAAGTGTCTGGAATTCTATTGGAGGGACGTGACAATTCTTCCACAAGAAATTCCATAATTTGGTGTTTTGTTGATGGTGGTGGAAAACACTGTCTCAGGCGCAGCTCCAGAATCTCCCATAAGTGTTCAATTGGGTTGATCGGGTGTCTGAGACACACCCTTTAAACCTCCTATACTCCTTTGAGGCCCCTTTTTCAACGTCACTGAGATCTCTTCTAGCCATGGTAGGCAAAATAATGGGCAACTGAGCATTTTTATACATGACCCTAAATCAATTTTAGAAATTGTCACATGCGCTGAATACAACGGGTGTAGACTTTACTGTGAAATGCTAGCCTACTTTTGGCCAGCTAATAGCCTTACCACCGATCAAGCAACATTATGGACTAAATTATCAAATCCAGTTGCTTCAGGATTATTTTGCTGTGACAATATAGATCAAATTAAGATCCTACATCTATAGGTCGCGGTGGCCATGATGGCACGGCCTGGCTGGTCGCTGATCTATTGATAAGAGCTGCCATCTCTGTCAAGGCCTCGATCGGGCCATAGCCACACAAAGTACAGTGACTGGTGGCTGGCTGGCCATTTAGCAGTGGGTACTCTTGGACGTAGTCCCAAACTAGTATCACCACAGCTCTTTTAGAAATGTTGTTTTTGTTCATTTTTATTAATTTTTTTACATTTGGTTGAAGACTAAATCAACTGATTTTAGAAGATCTGGTCAACTTGTATTTTATTTAATTTTTTTGGGACTGAACTAGGTGTGACTTTTCCCGGTTTAGCAACTCTGTTTTATGAATCTAGGTGCTTGGGGTGGTGGTGTTGACTTCCCAGCTTTAGCAACTTAATTTTCATTTAGATTCATCATAACAGAATGTTTCCAGTTCTACTTAAAAGCTCTTGAGTAACACAGCTACTTATTTATGTTTGATGCATATCAATTCCAGTACTAATCTCACCCACCCACCCCAAAAATGAATGGTGGAGCGCAATAGATTCACTTTGTATTTGATACACAAACACCAAACAATGTCTCCTTTCTCAGTATCTCTTCCGTCTCCTCCTCTCTTCCCTCTCTGTCCCCTCTAGGTACTACAAGCTGTCTGTGGTCCTGCTGTGTTTCCTGGTGCCCATGTGGGTGCCCTGGTACCTGTGGGGTGAGTCCCTGTGGGTGGGCTACTTCATCCCGGGCCTCATGCGGTACACCCTGGTGCTGAACGCTACCTGGCTGGTCAACTCTGCAGCTCACATGTGGGGCAACCGACCCTACGACCATAACATCAACCCCAGTGAGAACCGTTTCGTGGCCTTTAGTGCCATCGGTAAGGACCGGACCATCTTTTCTATTTTTCTAAGGGGGGGGAGAGATTTTTCTCTGGAGCACTACTTTTGGCCAGAGCCTTGCACTGCTGTTGGCCATTTTGGACAAAGCCAATATGCCATTTCGTGTCCAACCTCCACCACACTGGTACCGTAGCCTTCCCAAAGCAGCTGATGCAGCCTGGCATGGTGTAGTGAGGCGGAACTAGCTAATCCAGTGGCCTGTGTTGACTTTGTGAAGGATATCCTGCTGTTTGTGTGAAATCAGAGCTTCTGTCCGACTGACTACATGTTCTACTCTAACCTCGCGTCTGGATAGCTGCCTGTTTGTCAGCTGTGAAAATAATTTTTGTTGAATAGCTTAAAACGAGTGGGACTTGTAATTGTTAGTCATTTAGCAGACTCTTATCCAGAGTGACTTACAGTAGTAAGTGCATACAGTTAAGTGTTTTTTTCATACTTTTTTTTTTACCGTTGGAGAGATGTTGTCTATCAACCTACACTGAACAAATATATAATGCAAAGTGTTGGTTTCATGAGTTGAAATAAAAGATCCCAGAAATTTTAGATAAGCACAAAAAGCTTATTTCTCTCATTCTGTGCACAAATTAGTTTACATCCCTGTTAGTGAGCATTTCTCCTTTGACAAGATAATCCATCTACCTGACAGGTGTGGCATGTCAACAAGCTGATTAAACAGCATGATAATTACACAGGTGCACCTAGTACTGGGGACAATAAAAGGCCACTCTAAAATGTGAAGTTTTGTCACACAACATGTCTCAAGTTGTCTAGCATGCAATTGGCATGCTGACTGCAAGAATGTCCACCAGAGCTGTTGCCAGAGAATTGAATGTTCTTTTCTCTACCATAAGCCACCTCCAATGTAATTTTAGAGAATTTGGCAGTACGTCCAACCGAACTCACAACCGCAGACCATGTGCATGGCGTCGTGTGGGCGAGCAGTTTGCTGATGTCAACGTTGTGAACAGAGTGCCCAAGGTTGGGGTATGGGCAGGCATAAGCTACAGACAACTAACACAATTGTATTTTATCAATGGCAATTTGACGAGATCCTGAGGGCCATTAAAAAAAAAAAAAATTTAAGGTATCTGTGACCAACAGGTGCATATCTGTATTCCCAGTCGTGAAATCCATAGATTAGGGCCTAATTAACTTTTTTCAATTTACTGATTTCCTTATGAACTGTAACTCAGTAAAATCTTTGAAATTGTTGCATTTTATATTTTTGTTCAATCTATATACAAATATATCTCAGTTACTTGCAACTCTTGACTTAGAGGACTGCTGTATTTTGTGCAGGTTTTTGAATTGGAGACCATAATTCACTTAGTTGAATCATGTATTTGAATGCTTGACTAGAATGGAAGGTTGCACACAGCAGCCTTCCAGGACTCAAGTTATCCATCCCTGTTGTGGCACTTTTCAGACTCCAAGTGCTTTAGTTTACATATCACCTGTATGGTTATCAGATTGTTTTGAATCCTATTGGAAAAAGTGTAACTTGCATAGATGCACACCTATAGTATTACCAGGTCCATGGAGTAAAGGGAGGGAGGGGGCTCCAGCACACTGTTCGTTTATTTTTATTTTTCTTCAACCCAGACTTTGCTGTCCCCACATCACCTGTGCATGGCTATCGGTCTATTTACATTTACATTTTAGTCATTTAGCAGACGCTCTTATCCAGAGCGACTTACTTATAGTAAGTCTATGGTTTTAACCTGACTTTCCTGTCCCCTTGTATCCTTCCTTCCAGGCGAGGGCTTCCACAACTACCACCACACCTTCCCCTTCGACTACGCCACCAGTGAGTTCGGCATTAAAATGAACATCACCACCGCCTTCATAGACCTCATGTGTTTCCTGGGTCTGGCCAAGGACTGCAAGAGGGTGTCCCGCGACCTTGTCTCAGCCCGCGCCCAGCGAACAGGTGACGGCAGCCACAAGACTGGCTGAGTAATGTTGTCTCAACCATCTCAAACCGTTACGGACTCGATGCGACTGATACCAGATACGATAACAGGCTAAACCAATGAAAGAATGTAGCTGTAGTAAATTGCAGTATTGATGATGGAGTTAGTAGTGCTGCAGTTAGTAGTGATCAGACCATGGTCCATTGATGTCTCTGCTTCTGTATTATGAGTTAAAAACCTATACTTGAGTTCCTCCGATTAATATTGGCTTTAAAACGGTCCTAGACCTTTCAGTAAAGTGTTTATATTTTATTTTCTGTTTTTGAAATGAATGATGCGTGAGGTGAGTATTAGCCAAAGTGATCTAATGGCTTGGCTAAGCTAGGCATGTTAGCACAGATTTAAAGAGTCTAAGTCACTTGATCGGTGGATAAACCTGAAGCGGCGATGGATGCCGTAATGCGTGAAACTATTACACCAACCAAACTACCTGCCTGTGCCATCTGCACCAACAATGAAGATGGGAGAACATTAACCTCTAATTTATTCATGAGCTATTATTAATTAACCCTCTGTGGCACTTTTGAAATTGTGAGAAAAAAAAAAAGTTGGAGGTTTCTTCACATTTAGTCTAAGTAGGTGAAATTTGTTTTGATCATTTCGATTTGAATTCGGGCTGAATTGGATCTATATGTCGGGATCAATCTTTCTATCAGTCGCGCTTTGTTGACATTCATTCCATAAGCGTGGGAGAAGTCCAACTTTTGTCAAAAGTTTACATTTACGTTTAAGATTAAATTTAAGTTTTATATTTAAGATTATTTGTTTTATTTTATTAAGCCACCCTACTTCAGTCTTATTTTACTATAAGCTGCTGTGTTGAAACAGCCCTACTTACTTCTAAGTCAACATACTGTTGAGCTGTCATTATATACCAGACCATATTCGAAATAGGCTGGCGTAGAAGTGCAGTTATGTGGCAGTGTTACATATTAATGCACCAGTTGTCTCCTCCTGTCCAAGTTGCTCTTCACAGGAGATTATTTCCTCCTTGTAGAAGAGGATGAAGGTATCAGATCTCAAATTGCACCCTATTCCCTATATAGTGCACTACTTTTGACCAGGGCCCAATGTGGGTGATTTATACCTTTGGATATTGTGTGGGGGCGAAGGTGCCTGTGACTTCAGTCGGATGGTCGAACAGAAGCCTGGTTGGGTTTTTTTTCTCCCATCCTGCTTCAGAGACACCTCTGCACTGAAACGTAGTTAAAACACATACTCTGATCAGTCTTTATTATACAAAGGAATACTTGTTTGTATTTATTTTTTACTCTTACTGCAGCTGAAGTTAAGAGTAAGGGACTTCTGTCTCCCTTATCCAATAGGACAAGGTGAATGAAAGCGGTTTTGAGAGCATTTGCATACGCGTTGTCTCTCTAACTTGAATTCAATTATTTAGTCAGGACTCTCGCCCAAGATGCCTTATGGAAGTAATGTTATGTACTTTGCACACTTAGTAGATGCGGACATGTCTAGAAAAAGATGGATGCAACGGGAGGGAAAGAAGGAGCCAGAGGTTTAGTTAACTTACAATTGATGTCCAATCAAATTAACACTCTAGGAGTGAGGGGGAATTCTACTTTCGAGTAATGAGAAAATTGAATTTGAATATTTGCTTTGGAACTGTGGTTGCGTTATTTAATGACTGTCTCAATATCTATATAGGAGAGCGCTAAAGTAACGGAAAGCACTTATTTAACTCGAAAGTAAAAGGAAAAACTGTGTGCTTTGCATCTTTGGGATATTCTGGAAAGTATAAGAAGATTCTGAGAGATTTAGATTACATTTTTGCATAATAGTTAAACAAATGTGATGTTTGGCTCTGAAGAAACAAGATTCCAGATTAGTTATGAACTCATTAATGAAATTGTAATAATATTTGTCACACTTTGGTCTACCTTTTTCAGTGCAATTATTTTGTGCAGTGTTAACTTCTTGAAGTCTGAATGCCTTAAAAAAAACTGCAGCATTTTTTCTAAGAATGTTTTACCAACTGTATGTACCGTAAATAAACCAAATTTTCTACATGTTGAAAAGTATGTTCTGCTGTCTGTTTTGTTGTAATTCTGTAATATTTCCATTCCTAATTGAATAAAAGACAAGTCATTGTCTTACCATTTACTGGTCCTTTCCCTGCTGTATCAATGTCTACATTTTTCTGCAAAGTGACTGGGGTGAATTTATTAGTGCACACCATAAAATGTTTTGCAACAGGAAACATAACTAAAACAAGTTTTCTTATTTGGACAAGTTCAGGTTAGTCCCTCCCCATTTGGTTCCTAGTGAATACACCTCTGGAGACGTTATTGAGGTGGTCAGCTGTGTATGCAGCATAATAGTGCATTATTCTCACCAATACCTAAAATGATGTAATATTAAACACAAATTGCAGCTATCATAGAAAGACATTCTCTGACTGGCCTTGTCCCCAGGCTATGGGTGGCTGGTGTTCCAGAATATTTTCTGGCCTATGCTCACAACCTCTCTTCCCAATACTGAAGGTAGGAAACAACACCCACTTTCACCCAAGTTTACAGACGACACAAAAGTAGTATGCTTGATTACCAACAATGACAAGACAGCCTACAGGGAGGAGGTGAGGGCTCTGGTAGTGTGGTGCCAGGAAAATAACCTCTCACTCAACGTCAACAAAACAAAGGAGATGATCGTGGACTTCAGGAAACAGCAGAGGGAGCACCCCCCTATCCACATCGACGGGACCGCAGTGGAGAAGGTGGAAAGCTTCAAGTTCCTCGGCGTACACATCCCTGACAAACTGAAATGGTCCACCCACACAGACAGTGTGGTGAAGAAGGCCCAACAGTGCCTCTTCAACCTCAGGAGGCTGAAGAAATGTGGCTTGGCACCTAAAACCCGCACAAACCTTTACAGATGCACAATTGAGAGCATCCTGTCGGGCTGTATCACTGCCTTGGTACGGCAACTGCACCGCCCGCAACCGCAGGGCTCTCCAGAGGGTGGTGCGGTCTGCCAAACACATCACCAGGGGCAAACTTCCAGGACACCGACAGCACCCAATGTCACAGGAATGCTAAAAATATCAAGGACAACAACCACCCGAGCCACTGCCTGTTCACCCCGCTATCATTCAGAAGGCGAGGTCAGTACAGGTGCATCAAAGCTGGGACCGAGAGACTGAAAAACAGCTTCTATCCCAAGGCCATCAGACTGTTAAATAGCATTCACTAGCACATTAGAAGCTGCTGCCTATATACATAGATTATAAATCACTGGCCACTTTAATAAATGGAACACTAGTCACTTTAATGTTTACATATCTTGCATTACTCATCTCCTATGTACAGTGGGGAGAATAAGTATTTGATACACTGCTGATTTTGCAGGCTTTCCTACTTACAAAGCATGTAGAGGTCTGTAATTTTTATCCTAGGTACACTTCAACTGTGAGAGACGGAAATCCAGAAATCACATTGTATGATTTTTAAGTAATTAATTTGCATTTTATTGCATGACATAAGTATTTGATCACCTACCAACCAGTAAGAATTCCGGCTCTCACAGACCTGTTAGTTTTTCTTTAAGAAGCCCTCCTGTTCTCCACTCATTACCTGTATTAACTGCACCTGTTTGAACTCGTTACCTGTATAAAAGACACCTGTCCACACACTCAATCAAACAGACTCCAACCTCTCCACAATGGCCAAGACCAGAGAGCTGTGTAAGGACATCAGGGATAAAATTGTAGACCTGCACAAGGCTGGGATGGGCTACAGGACAATAGGCAAGCAGCTTGGTGAGAAGGCAACAACTGTTGGCGCAATTATTAGAAAATGGAAGAAGTTCAAAATGACGGTCAATCACCCTCGGTCTGGGGCTCCATGCAAGATCTCACCTCGTGGGGCATCAATGATCATGAGGAAGGTGAGGGATCAGCCCAGAACTACATGGCAGGACCTGGTCAATGACCTGAAGAGAGCTGGGACCACAGTCTCAAAGAAAACCATTAGTAACACACTACGCCGTCATGGATTAAAATCCTGCAGCGCACGCAAGGTCCCCCTGCTCAAGCCAGCGCATGTCCAGGCCCGTTTGAAGTTTGCCAATGACCATCTGGATGATCCAGAGGAGGAATGGGAGAAGGTCATGTGGTCTGATGAGACAAAAATAGAGCTTTTTGGTCTAAACTCCACTCGCCATGTTTGGAGGAAGAAGAAGGATGAGTACAACCCCAAGAACACCATCCCAACCGTGAAGCATGGAGGTGGAAACATCATTCTTTGGGGATGCTTTTCTGCAAAGGGGACAGGACGACTGCACCGTATTGAGGGGAGGATGGATGGGGCCATGTATCGCGAGATCTTGGCCAACAACCTCCTTCCCTCAGTAAGAGCATTGAAGATGGGTCGTGGCTGGGTCTTCCAGCATGACAATGACCCGAAACACACAGCCAGGGCAACTAAGGAGTGGCTCCGTAAGAAGCATCTCAAGGTCCTGGAGTGGCCTAGCCAGTCTCCAGACCTGAACCCAATAGAAAATCTTTGGAGGGAGCTGAAAGTCTGTATTGCCCAGTGACAGCCCCGAAACCTGAAGGATCTGGAGAAGGTCTGTATGGAGGAGTGGGTCAAAATCCCTGCTGCAGTGTGTGCAAACCTGGTCAAGACCTACAGGAAATGTATGATCTCTGTAATTGCAAACAAAGGTTTCTGTACCAAATATAAAGTTCTGCTTTTCTGATGTATCAAATACTTATGTCATGCAATAAAATGCAAATTAATTACTTAAAAATCATACAATGTGATTTTCTGGATTTTTGTTTTAGATTCCGTCTCTCACAGTTGATGTGTACCTATGATAAAAATTACAGACCTCTACATGCTTTGTAAGTAGGAAAACCTGCAAAATTGTCAGTGTATCAAATACTTGTTCTCCCCACTGTATATACTGTATTCTATATTATTCTACTGTATCTTAGTCTATGCCGCTCTGACATTGCTCGTCCATATATTTATTTATATATTCTTAATTCTGTTGCTTTACTTAGATTTGTGTGTATTGGGTATATGTTGTGAAATTGTTAGATATTACTTGTTAGATATACTGCACTGACGGAGCTAGAAACACAAGCATTTCGCTACCACCGCAATAACATCTGCTAAACACGTGTATGTGACCAATACAATTTGATTTGATTTACTGAATCATATGGGGGTTGTGTCATGGTATTTTAGAATTGAAACTTTACACTAAAATCCAACACCAAGTAGAATAAAATACCTAACACTTCTACAGCTCTTTTGAATGTGGCATTTACCTATCACATTGCCTATTCATAACCTGAACACAATTTGAGGGTTGCATCTGAAACAAACAAAAGGTTCAGTGCATTTAGACGGTTTTCCATAACTTGAAGTTATTGTTTGTTGACAGTCAAATGCCCTCACTTCCAAATGCCAAACTGTCATTTTCAAGTTTTAATGTTGGTCCCCTAGGCTCCCTGGACTGTTCAGGTTGTAACTGATTAGTATCTCTCTCTGCCCATAGTACATCTGCATCACCTACTGGGGAATGTTTCAAGCCAAGAAGAACCACCACTGAAAATGACCCCTCTTCAGTCTAACTAAATATAGACAGACTAATTCATTCTTATGTTGTACCAATATTTTAGCCTGGGTAGTGGTCTGTTTAGCTAACATTCCTCTCCTACTCTGTGTCATTGCAAAACAATTTACAAGTACAAGGAATATTTTTGGCTAATCCCACATGGCCAGTTTGTGCCTAGACAGTGAAGACTTAGTTTATGCAAACAGGGTCAGAGTTGCAACAGGTTGACTAGTCCGGACCTGGGTTCAAATACTATTTGCAATCTGTCAAATACTTTGATGGTTTGCTTTGGTCTGCCTGGAGTGGTAGGTGGGGCTTGTACTTTTGAGACTTTTCTATTGGTTTCATTGCAACAGGCGAGCTCAATCAAGTACAGCTAAAGTATCTGAAATAATTTAAATAGTGCTTGAAGCCAGGTCAGAGTCAGTCCAGTTGCAGTGGGTGTCTCCACCACAGCACCACTGTCTGTCTGTGAGCTGGCCCGCTG